TCAATAAAAAAGATGCCATGAATGTCTTGGCTTTAAGCTGTGGCGATGCCTGGATGAGTTGCCGGTGAGACGTCTCCAGCAACTTCAGACAGAAAACATGTCCCATTCTTATGCGTAATCTAGATAATCTTTAAGATCATCAGCAATCTCAATGTCGACAAAGAAGCGGATAAGATAGTCGGCTTCATGAACCATGCAAAGTTGGACATCAAACTGGTCCAGATCTTATGGCATAGTCTAGATCTGCTATAAGATCATCGACATCCTCGATGCCAACGGAGATGCGGATGAGATCTTCGGTGAGGCCTCTCACTTCACGAACTTCAGCAGGGATGCTAGCATGAGACATGAAGCATGGCAAGGATATTAACGATCTCACACTTCCTGCGGCCACAGATAATGTCAGTTGACTTTCAAGCAATAACAAAACAAAAATGTATCCATCATGGTTAAAGGTCTACACTTTTAAGAAAATACGTTAGGAAACTCATACATAGCAGCAGAAAAAGTTCCAACTTCTTAATGCAAATAATAAATAGGCTATTTATTATTAAAGTTTTACCAATTTCTAGTTTACTTAATCAATTTAAGTCATGCTCCCAAAGGTGCGTCAAATCTAGTTAGTGGGTCGGATTTGGGTCTAACCGAAACTAATTGACCCGAACTCAGCCCAAATATTAAATGGGTCAGATAGTCCAACCCGAACCTGAGTTGTATAACCCATTTAACATGAGGCATAACAACTATTTAGGTTGATTTCAGGTTTATTTCCCCATAGTTTTTAATTTTGTGGCAAGCATCGGCTAGGTGATATGTTCACCACAACCCACCTAGGTTGAAGAGAAGGTTTTGGCTTAGTTGACCAGAGCCTAGGCATCTCCTGATTATCAGAGAAAGAAGAAAACTAATCAACATAACAAGACTTAGGGGGTCGTGGACACCACATTCCACAATGGAGGCTTGGTCCCCCACACGGAGCACTATCTGAGGCGGGTAAAATTCACTAAATATTCAAAAATTTAATGATTGATGCAATTTTATGGTACTTACCATTTTGTCATATACACAGGCTCAGGAACATGGCCAACTGCCCACCAGTGTAGAGTTGCATGTCAGAACACATCGGCACCTCAGGACATAATGGTGGATCTCCAACCTCTCTCGGGTTATCAATGTAAGTAAAAATTCTCTACATTTTTTTAAGACTATTAATGTTGAAAATGAAACAAGCATTAGTTTTAATAATATAGGAGTACGAGCAGATCTGAGAGAGGCAGGGGGGGGGGGGGGGAAACACCCCCAAC